AACACACCTAGCAGGTGGTTGTGATGTGTCAGGCCACGTGCCAGCACTAGAGTGAACAAGAAGACGAGGTCCCTGCTCTTCGGGAGGTGGCGTTCTAGGACAAGAAGAGCCCAGACTGCGTCGGAAAGCCCCGCCTGCCTCAGCCTCCCTGTCACCCACGGGATCCTTGCCCCCCAAGACCGTAAAACCGAGGCAGACGTACAGGGACAACCTCCTGCATCAGTTCCTGCCGGCCAGTGGGGCAGGCCTCGGTTGGTGGGTGCCAGGTGGCCAGCCTGTGCAGGTGGGAGTGTCACCAAAGGCAGGGTGGGTGTGTGGGCCAGGGGTGGCTGGGCAGGCCGGGCAGGGGCCTGTTGGCTTGCCCAGACCGATCAGCCTGTCCAGTGCCATCCTCTGGCCCTTCTTTGGTGCTGGGCCAGAAGGGGATTTCAGGAAGCAAGGACTGGAAACTTCGAAGCAGACAGAATCCTAGGACAGGCTCTTCCACAATGCCTTTGTATCTGCCACTAAATGTGGGGGAAACAAACGCTCCATGTGCCCCCAAACACAAGTGAGAAGGTGACCCTGCCAGAACCCGGCTGCCTAGAACCTGGGGTCAAAGTCACGCAGATAAACCATGGGCCTGTTTGTGGTTGGGGCCTGATCCTGCCTGTGGCTCCTTTTTGGGCTCAGCAGGAAGCTTTGCCTCCCCAGCAGCACCCCCTTACCCCCTACCCTGGGTGCTGGGGCCCAAGTCAAAAAGATCCCGATGACTTCCTGCACCTCCCTTCTCCCCACCTGTTTGTGCCTGAAGCTGTTGCACCGCCTGCCAACAGGCTCGGCCGGAAAGTGTGGTTCCTTCTCTAACGCTCAATAGATTTGTTATTTAATAGCACAGGAAAGGGTGGCTATTATTTTTAATCACCAGATTTTATTAGAAAGGGACCTTTTCACTGCCCCTTGCCCACCAGGGCTATAACCGTAAGCCACCACTCTTCTAGGAGAGCGTGTGTGTGTCCCTCTCTCAGATTTTTCAGGCACAAGCCACACACCATTGGACTCTGCTCAGGATGCCCAGAGGGCTTGGTGTCCTAGGTGACATGCAGGCTTTTCCTGCGTGTTCCTTCATTGCTCCCCAGAATAACCCTCTGGGGTTGGAGCTGTGCCCATTTCACAGATGCAGGAACTGGGGTGCCCTTGTTTTTCCCGGGGATGACAGGGTGTAGGGCAGTATTTGACTGGCAGCAGGAAGGGAGGAAGGGCTCATAAGGAGGCTGACCTTCCATCACGGGCTTTACTTGGGCCCGTGGCCATAATTGCCCTCCTCACGCCCGTTTCCTCTTGGGGGAGACCAGTTCTGTCCCACCTGCTCACCTCTCCTCGTAAAGGGTGATGCTGCTACCTGTGAACAGGTAGGGGCTCATCCCTGTCCAGGTGGGCTGGCAGAAAGATCAAGGAAGGACAGGACAGAGGGGGCCTGGGTGTCAGGGACCGACACCAGGTCTGTCCTAGGTCTTAAGAAGACAAAACACCTCAACTAGCTCTTCAGCTGGAGAATGGGGACTTTCTTGCCCCCGGGGATGTCAGGCACGGGGGTATGGGACGTCTCTGGGCATCCCCTGAAACAGCCTCCATGCTCCTCTGCTCGTGCGATGTTTATATGGTCGACCAAGACCATGCTCCAGATTCCTTCAAGAACCGCCATCTGTGACTTTCTTCTTATGGAGATGGCTAAGGAATGGAAACTGTGGAAGCTAATGATTTCTACAGAGAAAACCGATTGCAAACTCCTTTACACTGCAAAAAGTCATTTCAAGGAAAAGACACTGGGGCCTCATGAGCCATTGAAACCAAGGCTGGTGGGAGAGCTGGTGGTGAGTGGCGACTGTCAGCAGAGGCTCCCTTGGCTGGTGAGAGGCCTGGTCAGGGAGCTGGGGCCCGGCGGGGCTGGCTACTGGGTCCCCAGAAGGGCCTGATGGCCCTGCACAGGCCCTGAGCACAGAAACTCCAATGGGGAGGCATACGCAGAGGAAAATCACATGGAGATAAGGCTGGATGAGTAAAGGAAGTGCAAGGCAGGAGAGCGATTCCAGCCAGATAGAGGCTGAAAGGCCTTAAAAGTCAGTAAAGCGGATCATGAAAATGTGGCCAGACTGGAGGGACCAAGGGAAAATGCCAATTTGCCAAGTTAAGTAAAAAGAGGCAGCATGATCCCATATTCATATTCATATTCATATTCATGCATATTCATAAGGACTAGAAGGAAATCATGAAAACATTAGAATACTAACATGGTTATCTCTCAATGGTAGGACTGTGGATGTTTCTCCTCTTTTTTTTTTTTTCTTTCTTTCTCTTTTTTGGGCCGGGGGTTGTGTGTTTTCTCACTCCTCTATAATGAGCCTGAATTATTTTATAAGGAAAAGGAAGGATTTTTTTTCTTTGTGTGTTTATTTTTGTTTCTAAGCTGGCGGAATTTTTAGACTCAACTCAGAGCAATGCCATGTCAAGGACAGAGACTTGGTCACCAGCCTAGCTGCACAATTAGAGAATCGTGGAGAATTTTCTTAATACGCTTTACATTGTGGAAAACATTCCAGATGGCACCAAAGCGATAATATCCATTTCTAACCGTTTATATTCGTGACGCTGGAGTGCTGCTGGTCCTGGCCGAGCCAGTCCGTGTTTTATCTTACACCTGGGGTTCCGGGTGCTTGATTATGCACTGCGATCCTCACCAAGTTGCTGAATCTGCTGCCTGCTGGGAGGTGTTAAAAAAAGCCCTTTTTTAGAGAGATAATTGAATCGGCTGAGGGAAGTGGAGTGTTTTATTTTTGGTGGGGATGCTTGGCGACAGTCCACGCATTCTCTTTAAATTTCACTTGAAAGATCGGTGCTGTCTGGTGATGGCGGATAGCTTTTCGATTTTTCTATTCTGCATCGTCTCCGAGCGAGAGATAGACGCGTGGAGATGAAATTCCATTTGTCGCGTCTTTATTCAAATCTGGGTGTGTGTGTCTGTGTTCAGAAGAAAGCTGGAGCCATTAGCTGGCTTGTTTGGGGACAAGATATCCCACGCAATTTTGGAATATCTGAGTGGAGTCGGCACGTTTCCACAGGTCAAATTTGATTGCTTGGGGGGGGTCCAGGTCTCCAGGCCATCAACACACGCTGGCCTCTTTATATGAGAATGGGGAAGGGTTGGCTGGTTGCGTTCCTCTCTATTGATTACAATGATCAATGAACGAAGTCAACTGTGGGAGTTTTGGCAATACGTTACTTGGCGTTAGTCCTGCTAACAAGATCCAGCCAAGAGAGTCTGAACACACTGGACTCTGAGCAAGCAGACATTTTCAAATTATTATTATGGTAAAACATACATAACATAAAATGTACCACTTTAACCATTTGCAAATGCACAGGTCACTGGAATTACCATCATCACCATCCATCTCCAGAACCATTTCATCTTCCCAAACTGAAATTCTATGTTCATTAAAGAACAACTCCCCATTCCCCTGCTTTCCGTCTCCAGGAATTTGACTACTCTAGGTATGTCATACAAGTGGAATCACGTGGTATTTGTCCTTTTTGTGACTGGCTGATTTCACTTAGCGTAATGTCCTCAAGGGTCATCCATGTTGGAGCATGTGTCGGAATTTCCTTCCTTTTTAAGGCTGGATAATCTGTTGTATGGCTAGACCACATTTTGTTTATCCATTCATCTGTAGATGGGCGCTTGAGTTTTTTCTACCCTTTGGCTGTTGTGGATAACGCTGCTAGGAACATGGGCGTGTTAATGTCTGCTCGTGTCCCTACTTTCAATTTTTTTGAGTATATATCCAGAAATGGAATTGCTGAGCAAGCAGACATTTTAATAGAAATGGAAATGAGGCCAATTGGAAAGTCCTCTGCTCCATCCTTGGCATCAACAACCCCTGCGTCCTAGAGGGAGCCCGGGAAATTTAGAAAACACAGCAGCAACGAACCTGAGCACATGGGTTTGAGCCGGAAGGGTCTTCAGAAGCGTGCGGCCCAGAGCTCTCTTTCTGGATGAGGAATCTGCATTGAGTCCAAGTCTTACAGCCAGACAGTTTCTCTATCCTCGTCATGAAGCCTGGGCCCTGATCCTGCCAGGGAGAAAGAAAAAGGAGGCCGCAACTCTGGAGTGGGAGTTAAAGGAGGAATGTTCTGCTGGGTCAGCAATCTCTCGCTCCCCATGCCCCGCTCACTGCATATGCATATGCTTCTCCCCAGGATGGGCAGGGAAGTTCAAAAGGCACCACACAGACTCATTCCATCCAAAGGGACAGGCAATACAAAGCATTGAAAGGGGCAGCTGATTCAGTCCCGGAGACAAGGCACCGTCCATCAGAGGTCTTCTCCACGCAGACATAAAACACTCTGTTAAGAAACAGGCGTCTGAGATTCTGGTTGGGCAAGTTCTGGAGGAATGCCAGAGATGGGTGTAGCAGCCATTTGTCATTCTTTCTGGCTCCGGGGCCATGAGAGGCTGATGATCATTTTCCCAGCCTCCTTTGAAGATATGGCCCTGCCATGTGATTGTATGCCACCAATCGGATGCACATGTGCTTAGCCAGAGGCAGAAGCAAGAGCAGGTACTGGCATGTCCACTTTGAAGGAGGGTGGCCAAAACTGCCTTTAGTGCCTCAAAAGAAGGCATCAAAGTGGTTGCCACTTGCTCCTAACAGTGATCTCTCCACTAAATCTGTCCTGCTGTGTGCTTGGGCTTGTTCCCAACTGTGTAGACTCCAGGCCGGGTTCTCCAGCCTTCCTGGAGATTCTGTGAAGTACTCAGTCTCCTTCAATACACCTCTTTTCTGCTCAAACCAGTTAGAATTTGTTTCTGTGGTTACAACTAAGAACTCAGACTGATTCATCAGACTACTGGTTATCAGCTAGAATTGGGTTCATCTGTGAATATTGGTGACACCCACCCCTGCCCCACCCGCCCCTTCAAATAAGAGAGCCTTAAACAAGACAAAAGTTTATTCCTTTCTCACTTAAAAGTCCAGGTGAGCATCTTGGCAGCAGGAAAGCCTCAGGTTCCCACTCTGCCATCCCTAGGGTGTGGCTCCATCCTCATGGTCCAAGATGGCAGCTGGAATACCAGCCATCAAATTCATATTCCAGACTACAAAATAGAAGAAAAGACAAAGAAGAAGGGGTAAAGAGTTTGTAGTATCTATCTTTAAAGGAAGGTTCCTGGAAGCTTAAAACCCATTAGCCCTTCTGGAATTTGATGGTGGCAATAGTTGCACAACTACGCGAGTTAAGTTGAAAACCACTGAAATTCCCTTTAAAAGGGTGAATTTGACAGTATGTGAATTATATCTCAATGTAATAAAAACCTCATTAGTCAGAACTTAGACACATGGCCATACCCAGCTGCAAGAGACTGGAAAATGTGGGCTTTATTCTGGGTGGCATTGTGGCCAGCTAAGACCTAGGGCTTTCATTTACTGGGGAAGAAAGGAGCGACCAATATGGTGGGCAGCTAGCAGGCTCTGCCACAGTGAGGGAACACAAAAACGGGACTGAGACACTTAGTAGGTTTAGATTTTATCCCTCAGCTCTCCCACGCCAGCCAGAGTCCTGGAATCGGTGCGTTTGTTTTCATGAGGGACGTCCCCCTGATTTCTTATGACCAAGGTCCAGTTAAACAAGAGCAGGGCATCCTGACCCCTGGCTGGAGAACACAGCCCCAGAGGGCCTACAAAAGTCAAGATGAAGATGTTTTACTGATAAGGCTTGAAGGAAGTGATCAGCCACCCTTGGGATCTGGGCATCAGAAGGCCATCTGGTCCCCAAACAGAGGCATCAGCATCATCTGGGAACTAGTTAGAAATGCACATTCTCAGGCCCCAGCCTGGACCTCCGGACACAGAAACTGGGGGTGCGGCCAGCAATCTGTGTCCTAACCAGCCTTCCAGGGGCATCCGATGCTGAAGCTTGAGAACTGCTGCTCAAAAGTTCATGTCCTGGGACCCAGTACCGTCTTCACTGGGTTGGATTTTGTTCACTAGTGTAACTCTCGGCATCTGTAACAGTGACCGGCACACAGTAGGGGCTCAATAATTATGTGTTGACCGAATGAAGGAGATATTGTTGCCTCTCATTGAAGGGAACACTCTGGTGAAATTCACTGCCGCTTTCGCCTTCGCTGTGGGGACATTGTTAACACCCCTCTCCCCATCATTCCCCATCTCCAATATCACACTCCAAATGAGATATTTATTTTTGAACTTAGGGCTGAAGGAGCTCGCTTCACCCCGAGAAACAGATATTGTATCCGTCGAGGTTCCGTCAGGATCCAGATGGCACATTCAAAATAGGATCATTTGGGGAGAATTTATTTACGACATAGCTTACAAAGGTGTGGATAACAGCAGCCAAGTTGTTATCACCCGTGACTGGAAGGAGTGGGGAAGGCGGGCCATCAGAACCCAGGAGGGCAGAGAGCTAGAGGGATGGCCTTCAGTTAAGGGAACAGCCAGCCCAAGGCAACTTGACCTTGAAGGAATGAGGAACTGGGCATGGCAGGGGAGATAAATAGTCCAATCTCATTCTCCTCTTTTCCTCTGATCTATGCGAGGGCTGAGCATAGGATGAACCCAGCGAGAAGCTGGAGGGCAAAGGAATCTGTTGGTATTGTCTATACAGCTCCACTCCCTGGACAGAGTATGGCCCAGAGAAGGGTTGAGAGGAGATCTGACGTGGCAAAGGGGAGACATCCGGTGTAGACGCATTTCTTTCCCTGACTATAGGAAGGACTCAACTGACGGTGTTTCCCTTTTCACTTTGCCTGCCAGGAAGCTCTAAGCCAAAAAAGAGGCTTGCCTAGAGCCACCGTGTTAGCCTTTGACTTGCCTTTTGACTTCTTTTGTCGCTAGTTGTCACATCTTTTTCATTTAATTGGCCCTGATTCCTTCGTCCTATCTGAGTTGTCATCATTTTGTTATGTAGTTTCCTTTTGTATGCCATCTCAACCTTTGTGGCAGGAATCCTGGCACATAATTTTTTAAACTAACGATAAAAATTATCAAATGGCTACTCTGCACCAGACATTATAATAGGTGCTACAGAATGTAGAAAAATAGGCGGATGCAGCCTCTGTTCTCAAGGAACCCCAGTGTATGCGTTGAGGGCATATTTCAAGGGAGGAAAGACTCCGCTATGAGGGAGAATAAGGTTGAAGCCGTATGGAGGGAAATGGACTTGCTGTTGTCTCTCTAAAGATGGGTGAGGTCACACGTCTGTTTTGTCTGCTAAAGATGAGCACAGGACTTGGGTCTCTGCTTGTGTGATCAAGTCCAGTTCACGCTCAAACCGTCCAGGGGAATGATAGGAAAACCCAAGAGGGCAGGCTTCCCTCAGCATCAGGCCCCAAGGGCAGGTTCGCAACCCACTCCCGTTGTCTTGATGTCACATCCATGGTGACAAGGTCAGCGAGGAGGAACCACTGGTTCAGCTCCTCCTTAACGACCTCTGGACAGCAAGGCTGGCCGGTGGAACTTTCCAGAATGGTGGAAACATTCTATATCTTTGTGATCCAATATGGCAGCCACTGGCCACGTGTTGGGCATTTGAAATGTGGCTGGTGCGACTGAGAAACTGATTTTTTCAAATTGTGGTAAAATACGCATTACATAAAATTTACCATTTTAATCATTTTTAAGTGTCCGGTTCGGTGGCATTAAGTGCATTCACATTGTTGTGCGACCCTCACCATCATCCAACTCCAGAAGCTTTCCATCTTCCCAAACTAAAACTCTGTCCCCATTAAACACCGATGTCCATTGCTCCCTCCCCACAGCCCCTGGCACCCACCATTCTCCTTTCTATCTTTATAAATTTGACGACTCTAGGCACCTCATATCAGTGGAATCACACGATATTTGTCCTTTTGTGACTGGTTTATTTCACTAAGCATAATGCCTTCGAGGGTCCTCCATGTTGTAGCAGGTGTCAGACTTTCCTTCCTTTTTAGGACTGAATAATATTCCGTTGTATGAATGGACCACATTTTGTTTATCCATTTGTCTGTGATGGACATTGGGTTGTTTCCACCTTTTGGCTATTGTGAATAGTGCGGCTATGAACGTGGGTGAGCAAATGTCTGTTTGAGGCCCTGCTTTCACTTTTGGGTATATACTCAGCAGTGGAATTGCTAGATCATAGAGTAATTCTATGTTTAATTTTTTGAGGGATTGGCATACAGAGGAACTGAATTGTACATTGAAATGTAAATAGCCACACGTGGCTAGTGGCTACATAGATGGACAGCACAGATACAGAACATTGCCAGCCCTTGGCCGGGCTCCTTTGTGGCCCTTCCCAGTCAATTTGCCACACCCCCAGGTAACCACTATTCTGGCTTCTGTCGCTAGAGATGAGTTTTGCCTGTTTCTGAGCTTCATGTAAGCGGAATCATAGATGTCCAACTGTGTGCAGCTTCTTTCACTCAGCACAACATTCATGAGAGTCAGCTAGTGGTGGGCTGGTAAATATTTGACAAGAGGCTCTCTGAAAAATTTAAAAACCTGATTTGCAGCGTTCGCTGATGCCCACAGTGTGAATACTCCCACCACGGCCGATTTGTGACGTCAGCTGGCCTGGACGAGCCAGGTCCAACACACCACCAATCACGCCTGCTGTGGTCGTGTCAGGAGTGTGTTTTGCTCCCTGTTCACGCCCCACAGGAGCTAAGGGCAGCCCACTTTTCCTCTAGTGCAGGTTTTCCACATTAGCTGGGTTCCCCTTAGCTGTCCCTTTTGGGAGGCCTGGATTTGGAAAAACTAGCTCAGAATACATGAGCCTCGTCACCTGCTCCCTCTTGCCTTGGTTCTTCTCTCCTCCCACTATCCTCATCCGCTGGAAGTGGACGCTTGCCCTTCTTATCTAGCACTTAGGCACAATGATAGAGTCACCAGGGTTGCATATGTTAATAGAACCTAAGGGAAATTCGGAAATAGCCTTTCTTCCTGACCAGGCTTGGATTTCAACACCATTGACTTGGGATAGATGCCTCAGAGAAGTCAGTTCTGAGACAATGAGTTCCTTGTTCTGTTTCTGTCCTGTCATTCCCTGGGGCAATAAAACCTCACAGCTCAGCCCAGGACAAAAGTCGACAAACTACAACCATGGGCCAAATCCAGTCCCTTGTCCATTTTTTGTGTGGTCCACAAGTAAGAATGCTTTTCACACGTTTTCGACTGAGATATAATTGACATACAACATCGTGTAAGCTTCACATTGCGGAAATCAATGTGTTGATTTGACGCATTTACATATTGCAATGTGATTCCCACTTCAGCATCAGCTAACGCCTCTAACATATCACATAATCATCATTTCTTTTTTGTGGTGGGAACAATTGAGATCTAGTCTCTTAGCGACTTTGAAGTTTATAATACAGTATTATTGACTATAATCACGAGCTGTGCATTACATTACCAGGACTTATTTTTCTACTGGTTGCAAGTTTCTACCCTTAACAACATCTCACGGATCTCCCCACCCCCAGGCCCTGGTAATCTCCAATCTACTCTCTGTTTCCATGAGTTCAGCTTTTTTAGATTCCACATGTCAGTGAGATCATACAGCATTTGTCTTTCTCTGTCTGACTTATCTCATTTAGCATAACGCACTCAAGGTCCATCCATGTTGTCACAAACAGCAGAATTTTCTTCTTTCTCGTGGCTGAATAATATTCCATTGTATGTATACACCACATCTTCTTTGTGCATTCATCCATTGATGGGCACTGAGGTTGTTTCCACACCTTGGCTATTGTAAATAAAGCTGCGATAAACATGGAATTGCAGAGATCTCTTCCGTATCCTGTTTTCCTCTCTTTTGGATATATACCTAGAAGTGGAATTTCTGGATCATATGGTGATTCTATTTTTAATTTCTTGAGTAACCTCCATAATATTTTCCATAATGGTCACGTTTTCTAGTGGTTGAAAAAAGTCAAAAGAAGAGAATTATTTCAGGACACATGAAAATTATATAAAATTCCAATTTCAGGATCCAAAAGCGAGGTTATATTGGAACAGCCAGGCCCACTTGTTCTTGGAGAATCTTTGGCCACTTCTGTGCTGCAACCATAGGGATGGGTAGTTGCAACGG